GGGGAGAGAAGCCAAACATATTAAACTAGCGGCGTATGTACAAAACACTTGTAACATAAACAAAAACCAGAGGTGGTGGATGGTTTTTAGGCATGAATATGTCTCTATGGTGTGGCTTCGAGAATTAGATCCCCACAGCATTACCTACCGCCCAGAAAAAAAGAAAGCTTGGGACTCGTACATCCCTAAGAAGGTAGCAGAGAAAAATGTATTGCACTGCCACTGTGGACTGCTAAAGTCAAATTCTGGTGATCACGAATGTCCACTTTGCATGAGCGGCACAATGAAGCTGGTGAAAGAGGCTGCTAGGAAGGGAAAAATTTCCCCTGCTTTAAAGACCCTGTTTGACACTGTTTAAAAATGGGTTTTGGACTAAGTTCTATGCAGGTCAGAGAAGCCAAACACATTAAGCTTGTACAAGTTTAGTTTGAAAACCAAAGGAAGGGCCAGTGCTTATGATCAAAAACAGGCTGGAACAGCAACATAGATTGTAAAAGGAAAAATTGCTTAACAGCTTAAATTCAAAACTGTTGCTCCCATTAGGTAGCATTTTTTTGATTTGTTTGGTTTCAAAATCAAGGAAAGGGCTGGTGCATTATACCAGCTTGCTGGCATAAACTTAAATAATCAGCCTGGTCTTAGCATCTGTCATTGAAACCAAGCAGTAAATTCAACAAAATTCTGATCAAAACAGACTGGAACGGCAACATACTGTAGATTGTAAAAGGAAAAATTGCTTGTAATAACAGCTTAAATTCTAAACTGTTGCTCCTTATAGATAGCATTTTTTATTTGTTTGGTTTGAAAAGCAAGGAAAGGGCTGGTGCATTTTACCAGCTTGCTGTGATATTGTAAGGGCTGCCCCATGTAGAATAAACAGTGGGCATAAACTTAAATAATCAGCCTGGTCTTAGCATCTGTCATTGAAACCAAGCAGTAAATTCAACAAAAGTCTGATCAAAACAGACTGGAACGGCAACATACTGTAGATTGTAAAAGGAAAAATTGCTTATAATAACAGCTTAAATTCTAAACTGTTGCTCCTTATAGATGGCATTTTTTATTTGTTTGGTTTGAAAAGCAAGGAAAGGGCTGGTGCATTTTACCAGCTTGTTGTGATATTGTAAGGGCTGCCCCATGAAGAATAAACAGTGGGCATAAACTTAAATAATCAGCCTGGTCTTAGCATCTGTCATTGAAACCACGCAGTAAATTCAACAAAGTCTGATCAAAACAGACTGGAACAGCAACATACAGTAGATTGTAAAAGGGAAGATTGACAACAAGACTTTCTCGACATACATTTTTTTTATTTTTTTTTCACAAGAATTTAACAATATGGGCCTATTGGACACTGGGGCAAAAAAGTTACAAGTTGTTCAATGCTTAGTTTTTTGTTCAAATGTTTTAACCAGAGAACATTAATTTTTTATCATGAATCCTGGTTATGGATCTTCTGTTGTCTAAGTGCAAAGTTGTCAACCATAAATAAGACTTTTCTTAACAAGGGAACATATGGATATTAGAACATAAAATCTGTTCATTTTTATAACTGACAAATTATATTGTTGTGACTGTACCTCTTAGTAAAACATCCCAGTAAAGTGTAATAAATTTAAACAACAACATGGTGGCATCATGACTGTAATTAGGACTTTTTGCCACTGCCTGACAAACAGATAATCAACATCAATATCAAGTGCTTGCCGAAAATTCCAAGATTATCGTACCTTGTGAACTAAACATGACCTACTCAGAAAATCTAACAGTGAAAGTGCAAACTCTACAATGAAACCCACTGGGAAGGAGAAAGAGATGGAAATGAGTCAAAGAACAGCTCTGGCTCTGCCATGAGGTAAGTCAGAAGACCATCTAGAGCTATAATTATGTACCTATCAATGTCAATCCGGTGGGGGGGAAGGGGGGGGGGGAATTTCAGTTATATTTGACCTCACATTTTTGCCTGGGGGTAGGGAATTTGACAGCAATTTTTTTGAAAATGTCAAATCCCCACCCTGTGCCCCATGTACCCCCCCCCCCTTGCTGGCTTGCCATTGATAGGTGCATTATGTTATGTTATTTTTAATACAGTTTTAATACGTGTGGAAGATCCCTACCAGTTCTAGCATTCCAAAATTCCATGCCATTGTCATTTATGTAAACAAAACAGTACTTTTTTAGCTTTACCTCTTACGAGCCAAAAATTAATGTTTTGGCACTCCATGCTCATTCCAAAAGCCACAATAGCAATTAACTGAGAGCACTTCTGAATTTTTGTTGTATCTGAATTTTAGTGGTTCGCTGTTGTAAACAATAACCTCACATCCCCCATTATTCTTGGTAGGTTTCTTTTTCAGCAGATCATCCTTGGCTATAAGTTCACCCTCAATGTTCATTTTGTCAAAGATAAAACAGCTTTATTTATTCGTGTTACTTCCACATTAACCACAGCTGTAGTCTCCATGTACTGATGCCCGTAACTGTTCCTTGGTACAATATGTTTTAAAAGAACATCAAAAACCTCTCGCGGAATGTCGAGGGAAAATTCACCATTCCAAGGGTTTGTTAGATTGGGTGTTGGTCGAAGTCTACTGACAATCTTCGTATGGATCTTCTTTAGAGCATTAATAACCATTCTTTGGGTCCCAACAAGTTGTTGAATTTTTTTGTTCCTCGATTGACCCACATATTTTTTTCTCCAACATTCCCACTGCCGTCTCTACTTCATGATAAAATCTGAATATGGAGTGCATCGTAGCCATACTTTCCGTTTGAGATAGATAATCGGTCATATTTCTGCGAAGAAAGCTGCTAACTTCCCGAGAAGGTGGGTTTCTTTCGAATAGTTGTGCCATGTTGGTTTTTACCCATGACACACCACGCGTCTCTGATGACCGATTTGAGGGGTGGTTTGGCCCCGGTGTGAGAACTTAGTGAGAGTTGCATTGAGGTCTTTGTTTCTTGTGGGCTGTGCATCAACCATTTGACATAATGTGCTGAGTGTAGTTTCCGTACTGGATTCTTTGTTGGGTACCGGTTCTGAAAGAAGCCATCCAAACTTGCTTTGTGTGGCTATCCATCTCTCATCTCGTGATTTCTTTGTGTTTCCCACAATGATCTGGGCATAGTGGTCGTTTCCGATGAGTATATGTAATGTGCGTTCACCTTCCACGTTTAGTGGATCGGCGAAAGTGAGAGCTTTTAATTCAACAGGAATTTCTGTATGTTGGGTACTTGAGAGTGGTGGGCAGATGATGGGCGTGACTAAGGCTTTTATTTTGACATCTTTATTCGCCACATTTATGGTAAGTGTTACGACTTCGTAGGATTTTGGAGTACCTCTGGTTAAACCAGATGTGGTTACGTCTAGTATTTCGCTCCAAGCAGCTTTCAACTGTAGCGTATTCTTCTGGCATTGTGTAATGAATGTCTTCTGTGATCCAGTATCGATAAGGATGCGCGCGTGGCATGTTTTTTGCTTGAATCCCGATTAGGCTCGCTTGGTTCACTGATCGATGTATGGTGTTTTTGTCTGCAATTTAGACATCGTCCTTTTGAGCGACATTGATATCTTGTGTGGCCTGATAGGAGGCAGTTAAAGCATTTATTTTTCTGCGCCAATATGGTCCGTCTCTCTTTTGTTGTTTTTACTTTCGAGCATTTGTCGTGACGGTGTTTCCGGTCGCAATATATGCATGGTTTTGGCTCGAATCTTCCGTTCGTATTGAAGCTTTTTGGTGAGGGGTGTATTAGGCGCGGTTGAGTGTTTGTAAGGCGCAACTGTGGATACGAGAACGTCGTCAACGTTTGAGCTTGTGTCGTTTTCTTGCGTAAGTTGACTTTTTTCCCTCGTGTCTATTTCATGACAAAGTGCTGTTCGTAAATCATTTAGGGAACAATCTGCGAGAGGATTTGTTCTTAATATTGTACAACGTAATTGTTCTGGTCATTTCTTTAGTAGTATTTGGATTAGCAGACTTCCATATGAATCTGTCTGGACTCCCAGTGTTTCTAAGGCACGAATATTGCTCTCGCAGCTATCGTGAAATTTTCGTAATTGCTGCACTTCAGTTGAGGGTGCGCTGATTTTTGAAAGCGATTCCATATGCGCGTTGATTAGAACTTGTTTCCCTCCGAAGCGTTCTTTCGGCATTTCAATGGCTTTTTCATAGTTTTGTGATGTCATTGGTAGCCCTGAAATCGCGCGCGCTGCGTTGCTGGTTATCAATCCTTTCAAATAGTTCATTTTGTCAATATTGTTCAGTTCATGATTGTTGTGTACTGCATTACTATAACTATCCCAAAACGTAAGCCATTCGAGTGGGTTTCTGTCGAATGGTTGGATATGTCGTTTTGGAAGGTTGATGTGGACTCTAGGTGTTGGTTTGGTTTGGAACGTACTCACCGGACTATGTTCGTCTGTTACAAATTCTTTAATTTTCAGAATCCAATAATAGATATCGTCTTGGAACACCAATGCTTGATCCGTCTCTTTGCTTATTTCTTCATCCTTTCCAAGTGCGTTTAAGATTGTGCAATCCATAGCTTTTATTTCGTCCAATCGTCTTCAGAACCACTCTGCAATTGCTTTCAGTTGTGTGTTGTTTATAACCTCAGTATCAGCCATAAGTCGTTGCGCGCATTTGATGTCTTGATTGCAGTGTCCTCTGTATGCCCCTCTGACTGCCTTGTGGTGTTTCACTTCCTCTTTAGCATTTTAACCAGGGTCTCGGCACCAGTTTCAGAGATATATATCAGACTGATCTGTGTATGATCTTGTGTTTATTACATTCAGCCAAGGCTTAGAATATCTGATTAGTGACGTAGATAATGATGACTAATTACACGTACATAATTTACTGTTAATGTACTGATTTCATTACAATGGGCTTATTCTTGCTTTTGCTCAGTTCAGCGAAGAACTGGTCCATTTCCGCTTTTGATGGGGCTGGGATTTCTTTGGACAATTTTTTTGCAACAGTAAGATCAAGTTTTGAATCCTCAGGAAAGGAATCATTTGGAACATTGTCAATGCTCGCATCCAAGTCAAATTTCATCTTCTTTGCTGATGTAAAGTTTATGTCATGAACCCTGGCATAGTCGACTTGCTTGACATACAATGGCAAAAGCCATGTGTATTTGACTTGGGTACATGAAAGCCGACCATTTATCTTTGTCCAGGCCTTGAGATAAAATAAAATGCTGGCTATATGAGAGCAAGATTCTGCCAGTCCAGCCTTCCCTCTCATTCTGTGATAATCAAGATAGGACTCAAAGAGTCGTTCATACGTTGTGAATGTTTCACCTTTGCCAAATAAACAAACTTTTTCGCAACAGTGTGCCCTTCGACGCTCGCAATGAATCCCAACACCATCTGATTATAGGCCTCGAGACTTCTAAAAGCCTTGAATTGTTTTTGTGTGTAGTAGCTGGTCTCTAAGACTAGATATGATAAAAGATCTGTAGCTTCCACAGGAGGTAAACAATCCGGTTCAAAGTGATTGCCTTGGAATAACACGCAATCAATCCCAATGGCTGCGATTTTGTCCCCGTAGCACTTTTTAACTCACTGGTCCAGCTTCTTAGCATAATAAGAAAGAGGTACAGAAGATGTAGCTTCAACATTTTCACCTGATTTTGCTTCACTTTCAGAACAATCCATTTTAGCAAGGCTACAATTTGCGATGTGAACTTCATTTGCGTTGTATTTGCATAATGATGCAACCCGCAGGTGTACATCAACATGGCGCCAAAATTTTCATGATGTCACGTGAAAGCGATCTATACTTGGTATGGGAGATAATTTGCATATGTGTCCCAAACATGAAGGGGATCAGGGAGATGGTCTGTAGACCTCTCTGCATGGTTTTCAGCTGGATGCTCTCTTTTTAAGGACTCAAAAAAGTCAATTCTTTATCTGTTTAATCAGTGCTGTTGAATATATTGAAGACTTAAGTCGATTTAATACTCCCTTAAGAAGTATCCCAAGACTCCCTAAAATTGTTGAAAAAACTTGGTAGCTGTTAGAATGAGTCGTTTACATCTTGTCAAGATCTTATGATGATTATACGGAGTCTTATAATGTAAAAGACATATTTTTATTTAACGAAAACAACAACTTTATTTACATTTTTGTCTTATCATTCATAGTTACATTGTATAAACATTTTTTTAAATACATTTGTAGCTCAGGGATGATAGTCAGATCCGATGATGACTAAAATTCAGGTGTGTAATTACTTTTTTTTTTTCTTGGGGGCTAAGAAAGAATAATAGAACAAATAATATCAAATTGTTAGTTAAAATAGCAGGTAAATGCTGATGTGAACATATTGTATATCAACTGAATTGATAAATACCAAAGGAATAAATAAGTAAAAGATACAGAAACATATATAGTGCATAAAATATTTACATTTAAAAATAGCAACAATGACAATAAAATGATAAAAAGGAAGAAAACGATATGAAACAATTATTAAATAAGTAGAAAGAATTCTGAATATGAAATCAAAAGTGCAAGAAAACATCTTTATTATTGTAACCCGGTTTGGTGTAGGGCATGTATTTACCGTTAGGCTGGTTATGTGTGACATGCATGAAGTTTATTACTTTCTTTGTGGCCATCCTTAGTGGTCATAGATGTTGCAGATGTTGAGATTTCCAGGGCATTACAAACAACATTACGAGCTTTTTTCCAAAACATATTTCTATATTTACACCCTAAGTCTTTCATATCTGTTTCCGTGCAGTGAACAGAACATTCAGCTGTTGAACTTGTATCATTTGCATCAAATTAAATATATTGTAGGCATTAAGGTTAGTACATGAAAAGCTCAACATTTGAACTGGCCGTTTCTCAGTAATGTTAGGGAAAAAATTAATATGAAGTGAGCATGTACAAAAATGTGTTTGTAGGCCTCAGAAGTGGATTTCACTGTATTGTGTGCAACCAATAGTATATTTACCAACATTTTTACATCGAGAACCTTTTACACTTGTCTCTTCATGAAACAAAACTGTCGAGAAAGGAAAAAGTAGGTTAATTATTTATTTAGTGTAAGAGTGTACACCAATCATTGCAGTGTAGGCTATTGATCTCATTGCTACGCTCAGGGCCCCAAAATTTAATTTCATGCCCTGCAAGGCACCTTAATCAAATAAATAAGGTAACAAGCATTGCTTGCAGTCGCTTGGATTATTGGTTTAGGCCTTGTGTGTGGATGTTATATTCACTCTTCTCCTCCCTGTTTACTCCCCTGACATGTTTGAGTCATCTTCAGAAAGAAGTGAAGTACTTTCCTTGCAGATAAATTCCAAGGGTTTGATTTCCCTCTCAGAACCCCTGTCCCCACAGTCTTTTGCCTGATTTCCAACTATTTGATTAACTATTATTTTACTGGAAACCTCCTCCACTGGTAAAGATACCTCAACCTGACCATTACTTTTACTGTACCCAGTAATTTTGACATTAAACTAAAAAGCACTTGCTGATTATGTAGTATTTCGTCTCTTTAGGGTCTAAAGTACTGTTTTAAGAAATCTGTTTTGAGATAGGTCTGAGAGGAAACTATTTTTTTTACTGGTCATTGTTGGCAACAGCTCAGTGGCAATGGCCATGGCGTCATTGTTGAGGGAGCATTTTCAAGCAGTCACAAATCAGTCTTGACAATGGCTTGCTCTTGTATATTGGTGATATGTTTGAGGCAGGAGTTGACAGCTCACCGAGAGATTTGCCTCGAGCCAAATAAAAAAGTCATGCAAGTAGGCCGGCGGCTTATACAAGAAACTGTACTGCCTATATTGTACAATCTATTGATTGATTAAATGGCAAGTACTTGTTGAAGAAATTAAAATGTGAAAGCTTGGTAAGAGTTGATGTTTCCATCATAAATGAAGGGTTGAAATCCCCACCTTGTCATTGGAAAACATTGCATTTGTTCTGAACACTGTTTGTCACCTTGTAACAAATTTTAGTTGAACAGTGCATTTGCCAAGAGCTATGGGTTTTCTGACTCACGAGCACAAAGGAGAATTATTTGACTTTGATCAAGGGGTAAGGGCCTTTCTGAAATAATCAGACTCCTTGTAGAGGATGATGTTTAAGTAAGCCAACAGAGCGTCATCAAATTCCTGAAGTGGTACCAAGAAACGGCATCACCAGAAATGCTCCCCAACCAGGCATTCCTTTCAAACTAATGGACTTCATGGAGAAACAAATGGAAAAAATGACGAATTACCCTCCACAGGCTTCACAATACTAATCTACCAGGGGACTGGACTGTCTTTTTTGATTCAGAAATTCATGCATCTGAGGAAAAAACCCTGGTATAGAAAGAATCAAATGACTGGAATTGAACGAGTGGTTCAAGGATGAAATTGTTAGTTAAGCTCTGTGCTGATGGAGAATCAAACAACGGTGACAGAGTATGTAGAGTGACCAATACACTATATTATTGTTGTTACTTCTCGGACATGTACCAACTTGTTTTATGATGTCAAAAAACAGGTTTTTGTGAGCACCAACTGAAACATAGAACCACAAATATATCCTTTGTTTTTGTCCAATTTCATGAGTGAAAGGGAATGAAACTGTTTCAGAAAGCATTTTTGCTGAAGCATAAATGGGCATGGGCTGATGCAAATTAAACGGAATTGTTGTCATTCTTTTGTCCCTCTTGTCAGTATTCAGGTAGAGGTGAGGTACATGTGGAACTATCACACATCCATAAGGCAAAGTGGTATTTATTGGGACTGTAAATCTGATGGTGGGCAAATGCATGAAAATTTTTATTTATTTGCTATTTATTTTTATTTATTCGCCCAATTCCTAGCTGATACATAGTTATGTAAACATAACTGAGAAAAATAATACAGTAATAGATAAAGATTTACAAAGGAAAAAAACGCGTAAAATAGAAATTACAACACTTAAATTGAATTACATTGCATATTGGAAGGAGAGGAGAGGGGCACATCTAGATAAACTAATATTGTGCCCCTTTAAGTTATGTATAACAAAGGACTTAAGATTATTAATAAAAAAGTAAAGGAAAAATGACAAAATAGCTCAGAAAGTTATAAAAGGGATATTGATTCATTAGTATTGAGCCAGGTACCAGCGTAAAAGTGCTTTTTTAAACATTTTTTTAGATGGTTTGTCTCTAATGGATGGCGGAATATCGTTCCAAAAGAAATTTCCAACAATGCTGGGGCAAAATCTCCTAAGATTAGTTCAAAATAAAGGTATTGCAACTTGATTGGATGATGCACTGCGGGTACTGTAATTATGTAGTTCAGATACTAATGAAACAATGATTGCAATTGGAGATCATTTTCTATGATATCACGGAGCTTTGCAATACAATCTTCGCCTGTTGATTCTGGGATGTTGTAAAATCTCAGATTGTAGTCCCTAGAATATCTCTCCAGGGACAACAATCTCTCGTCGGTGTCATCGATCTCTTTTGCATACTTGGTGATATCGTTCTCGATTTGGTCGATTCTTGTATTAGCTTCATGCAGTTGTCCTGTTAATACCTCCAGCTTTGTATCCAAAGATTCCTTCAGTTTTGAAATCGAGCCTTCATTTTTCTTCATTTGACCCTGAAGAGATTCAATGTCTCTTTGAATCTTGACTTGAGTTCCTTTCATTTCTTTTAGGTCATCACTTATTGAACTCAACTGGTGGCGTACAAACGCCTTAAAATCCTCTTCCACCGCTTCCTTTTGCTTCTCTCTTTTTGAAGACATTGTTTGTTACTTGTTTGATTAGTTTGTAAAAGAAAAAGTAAGATTTATGTCAGAAATTATGTCAAGTTGGCAGAGCCAACAAAAACGCAGCCATCATGCTCGCTGACCACTGACCGTGTGAATGCATGAAAATGGCAAAACAGTGCATCTTAATTGTTGTGTTTGCAGTCCCTGTAAAGGCTCTGTCTTTTATATAATACTATCCACCGACACAAGATCACAATTTCTTTAGAAACTTAAACATCTTACTTTTTTCCCCCTGCCATTTTATAACAAAATGGCGTCCCTCTTGTGCCTATAATTTCAGTGTGAAAAAATGTTTGGTGCCTCTTGGGCAGAGCCCTGCTATGTAGAGAACTGGAGATACTTGCAGTTATTTACAAGGTCACTGAACATCATTACTTTCAAACTGGGAATTAAAGGGTTAACGTTTTGCTCTTATTTTTGGTAATCAAATAAGGGGTAACTCTATCCATATGCAACAAGTCCTAAATGACTTACTGCATTAACCTCCGACGTCAAAGCAGGAGGTTGTATAATTTTTTGTGCCAGTGTGCCATATGATGGTATAAATGCTAAAACAATCTTAAATCACCTGTTCTCTTTGAGTTTGTTACATTT